TTTCTCAAATTCACAACTAATCAACTAGCAAGACTCTAATATCACCATCTTCATATCTCAAAACAATTATAAGGTATCAAAACTTCTCTTAGTATTCAATGCACTTTATAGTTTTTATCTTGGATGCCTATCATACTAGGACTAATTTTATAACCAAAGCAAATTACCATGATGTTCTAAAGGACTCTCGAAATATTATAAGTGAAGCATGAGAGATCAATAATTTCTATAAAATATAACCACCACCGTGCTCTAAAAGATATAAGTGAAGCACTAGAGCAAAATTGTTTAGCTCAAAAGATATAAGTGAAGCACATAGAGTATTCTAATAAATTCCAAATAATGCGTGTCTCTCTCAAAAGGTGTGTACAGCAAGGACGATTATGGTGAACTAAAAATCAAATACTCAAATCATACAATACGCTCCAAGCAAAACACATATCATGTGGTGAATAAAAATATAGCTCCAAGTAAAGTTACCGATGGACGAAGACAAAAGAGGGGATGCCTTCTGGGGCATCCCCAAGCTTAAGATTTTTAGGTTGTCCTTAGATTTTACGTTGGGGTGCCTTGGGCATCCCAAGCTTAGGCTCTTTCCACTCCTTGTTCCATAATCCATCAAATCTTTACCCAAAACTTGAAAACTTCACAACACAAAACTTAACAGAAAATCTCGTGAGATCCGTTAGCGAAAGAAAACAAAAACACCACTTCAATGTACTGCAATGAACTCATTCTTTATTTATATTTGTGTTAAACCTACTGTATTCCAACTTTTCTATGGTTCATAAACTCCATTACTAGCCATAGATTCATCAAAATAAGCAAACAACATGTGAAAAATAGAATCTGTCAAAAACAGAACAGTCTGTAGTAATCTGTAACTAACGCAAACTTCTGGAACTCCAAAAATTCTAAAATAAATTTCTGTACGTGAGGAATTTATCTATTAATCATGTGAAAAAATAATCAACTAAAGATGAAGCAAGCTAGCATGATTCGTTCCTAGTGCAATCATTCATGAAGCTTGGCCGGCGAGATAAGCACGTAGAAGGCAATCTCGATTGACCTAACTATTTGATAGAAGTCAGCGGCGTGAGATGGAGACACGATTAAGAGAGAGATCAGAAAGATTTTTTTTTAGCAAAGAGATTGATATTTGACATCATTACGTCCCTACAGGAATATCACGATCAAAGATTTCATCTCCACATCTAATAAAGTAATAATCCAACGGCTAAGAGCTGATGAGATATGATGCTCTTTTTTTCACGTGTAGGGTTGCTCTTTTTTTCTTCACAAAAGTAACGTAAGGTTTTCTAATTACTTCACATCTGATTGATCCGTGTATGTTGACTCTTTTTTTCTCCACAAAAGTAACGTAAATCACGGGGTCAAGATAGATCAACGGCTAAAATATTTTTAATGATGTGGATTACTATGATGACCCGTATGGTGCCTCCAATTAGTAAATACTTCCTCCGTTCCTAAATATTTGTCTTTTTAGAGATTTCAAATGGACTACCACATACGGATATATATAGACATATTTTAGAGTGTAGATTCACTCAGTTTGCTTCGTATGTAGTCACTTGTTGAAATCTCTAGAAAGACAAATATTTAGGAATGGAGGGAGTATAAGATAAGATACAAGATAGATTAGTTCGCTTGTAGTGCATATTGACAATGACTAATCATTAGCTAGAACTGTTTGTGAGATCTATGATTGTTGGATATCTTATCTATATAATTACCTATGTTTGTCCATTGTGCTGCTGTTGGTCTATATAATTATCTATGTTACCGAGACACAAAATGCTATATGGTGGTGCAAATAAATTTTTTGGCTGAGAAAACTGTTGTTGGTGTGCATGTTACATGGAATGCCGCTAGGTGGGAAATAATAGTGATGGTGTGGACACGTGGCATGCAAGAAGCACCTAAATTACTGCTGATGTGGGCACTCACACCGCAACTATTTTTTAACAGTGACATCATATTGGTGGCGTTGGGCTCCCACGGCAACGTCATTTTTGCAAAGCCAGCACTAAGCTTTTTCTGCACTAGTGCAATGTTGATACTATGCTTTAGTGTGATAATAGATATGCAATGTTTGATAGATGATACCATTGTTGATACTATCTTGTTTATAAGATATGAGGCAGTGCAGCTGGACAGTGCAATCATCATTGACCAGTCAAAGTGGGATGATAGGCTAGTGATAATAGGCAATAGAGATGACGGTTATTGCCCAATAAGTGTTTACTGACACTGTAGTGGTGAGTCATGTATGTATCGATTCTCCTATTATATCATCTTTATACTTATGAAATTACTACTGATAAAGGAGGCTCTTTTCCAGGGCCACTTTATTTTTAAAGGAACAACTAAAAATTCCAGCATTGAAAAAGACAATCAGAAAACTCCCTCATTAGACAAAATATATAGATACCAGCAATGCATCCATGCATGTTTTAATTAAGGTGTGTATTGTCTGAATATCATATAGGCTATAACGTGTCTAGGTTTCGCATACATACTACATATAAAATGAAATAAAAATATGAGTTTAACTAATTAAGCATGCACATTTATGTGTCAATACATGGCAAAATCATCCGTGTTTTTCATAGAGCATACTAATTTATGTCCCAGCCATTGAAACAGGGACATGCAAATAAATATTAACTGAAATCTAACACATCGAGCCAAACATTGACAATCAATATGACGTCAACAGGTTGTAAAATTCAACCATGTAAACCAACTAATTATAAAGAAATAAACGCATAGGATTTGTTTTATGTGGGTGGCATACAATTATGTTTGGTCCTTTGGACGACCAAAAAAGACAATTATACGACAATTATTCATTTACAAGTAGTAGGTGCACATGTTGATGACTTAATTAGCTCGGAACCTTGTGTCATGTTCCAAGTGAAATGCATCATTGAGAAAAAAAAGATTGGCTGCTGAAGGGATGCAGTGTCGCCACTTTTGCAAGGGCTACCCACCGACCCTTCTACTATGAGGTTTACTTTATTCTTAAAAGAAACGGCTTAAAATTCCACCATCCGACAAAAACAATCACAAAACTCCCTCATTAGACCGAATGTCTAGATACAAGCAATGCATCCATGCACGTGTTTAGGTTATGTATTACGTGAAACATCATATAAGCTATGATGTATCTAGGTCTCATATACATACTACATATACTACATATAAAATAAAATATGAAAACTAGACCAGATAATTAAGCATCCACATGTATGTGTCAATATACAAGGCAAAATCATTCATGTTTCCAACTAAATGAGTGTAGCTATTGAAACTGCAGGGACATGCAAATAAATATTAACTGCAACCAAACACATTGAGCCAAACATTGGTAAACGATATGATGTCGCGAGGATGTAAAATTCAAGACAGAGTTAGAAAAATATACTCTATAAAAATGCATACAATATTGGGGTCGTTAATTTTGACAACCAAGGAAAACAACTAAAGATAAATGCGGGCACATGTTGACGATTCAATTAAACTGGATAGGAAAAAACACATGTTGATGATTTAACTAAACTTGGACAGGAAAAAACCATGACGGAAACCACTCGCTCTTCCACGGCAGCGATGGCATCGACTCACGCAACAAAGGGGTGAATGACTTGTCTCTAATGTTGTACACGCCAGAGTCACTGAGAGGTGCCTCCAGCTGCTTCCACTGGTAGAGTTTGTTGAGGAAGTAGATACAGTCTCCCTGAACTCCATGACCAGCGGGCAAAGACTTGGAGCACGGCCTGCTAACAAAGAGCGCCTGGCCTTGTAGGCTGCCGTCCAACTTCTTCCACCGGCATTCGCTCAGGTCGGCTTCCCAAACCTCGAACCGGAAAGTTCTTCTACCATCCGCATCCGGGGAGCTGGGCATCCTCATCCATGGGCGGCGGAGCCATCGCTTCACCATCAGCAGCTTGCCACCGGACTCGAGCAGATACCAAGGGAAAACCGTCTTGGAATGTTGGTGGTGGTGGTTTTGCCATGGGTGCTTTATCATGAGTTCGGTATTGTACTTGAGTTTGAAGCCTTTTTGGTGGCCATTGCTGAGGTCAAGGGTCTCGAGGACATGGTCCCTGGAGAGGGCGTAGATTTTCCCTTGAAAAAGGGCAATGTCGATGGCCTCGTGATGTAGCGCCCCCAGGAGGACTGAGTTGCTCTCGCCGCTCGGTCGGCAAGTGGACACGATGACACGATGACCCACGGGAGCCGCCTCGGCGGGAGCTGGCCGGCGGCGGAGCGCCATGGTCTGCAGATGGCGCCTGCTCGGACGCGGTCCGCGAGGGACATGAGGCGGCGGAGGACCAGGAGCAGGAGATCATCTGGCAGGTACGCCCAAGAAGAGTCTTTCGCCATCGCGATTGATTGATTGATTCACCAAAACCTAGGCTCGCGCGTGCACAATTATTTCTGTTTTCGCTCGGAGCAAGTCACGCTCATCTTTGTGCGCCGCGCCACGCGTGAGTCAGCGTTAAGCACGGCGCGTTTCAGTTCCTTCCGAGCGCGGCGCGTTGCGTTAGGCACAACCGGCGTGACGTGCTCGGAATTGGCCACAGCCGTGGCCAGCCAGGGTTCAACTAATCAAGCATGCACATGAATGTGCCAATACTACAAGGCAAAGTGATTCGTGTTTCTAACAAAATGAGTCCAGCTATTGAAACTGGAGGGACGTGCAAATAAATATTACTGAAACGAAACACATCGAGCCAAACATTGGTAAACGATATGAAGTCCCTTGGATGTAAAATTAAAGATACAGTTAGAAATTATACATGTAAACCAGCTAATCTCTATCTGTTCTCTACTATTTAAAAATATTGTAAGATTCCATGTTTCATTGTTCTTCTCATCATCCTTTCATCCAACCTTTCCCAAATGATAACCAATCATGGTAATTACTTACCTTCTGAACCAATTTCACTTTTATTTACTTAGCAAACTTCACATCAAACTATAAGATAAAATCATGGGCACGATTTGATAAAACATTCATTTACACAATCGCATTAGTATGTGCAGGTAAATCACAAGCCAACGTACTGAGTAAATATTTATACCCCATTACAACGCATGGGCATTGTCGTAATAACCATACAAAAATGCATACAATTTTTTTGGACCATTGGACAAACAATTAGGAATACAACTACTTGAACGATAAATGCTGGCACATGCATGTTGATGACTTAATTAAACTTGGCCATGAAAAAACCATGATGGAAACCGCCCGCTCTTCCACGGCAGCGATGGCATTGACTCACGCAACAAAGGGGTGAACGTCTTGTCTCTAACGTTGTACACGCCAAAGTCGCCGAGAGGTGTGTTCGGCTTCCTCGACACATAGAGGTTCTTCAGGAAGTAGATACAGTCTTCTCGAACTCCATGACCGGCGGGCAAAGACTTAGAGCAAGACCTGCTCACAAAGAGCGCCCGGCCTTCTAGGCTGCCGTCCAACTTCTTCCACTGGCCTTCGCTCATATCTGCCTCCCACACCTGCAAGCAGAATGTTCTTCTACCTTCCGGGAAGCAGGGCATCCATGGGCGGCGGAGCCATCGCTTCACCATCAAGAGCTTGCCGCCAGACTCAACTAGATATGGCTCGACCAGGGGGTCAGCGAAAACGTCTTCTTCATCTTGCTTGAAAACGTCTTCTTCATCTTGCTCATGTTGCTGCCATGACCACGGGTTCTTTATCAAATCTAAACCCCACCGCACTTTTGGTTCGACGCCAGGCGGCGTCGGCTTGTCGAGGTGACCATTCATGAGGTTGAGGTTCGAGAGGACATGTCTGATGGAGAGGGCGTAGATCTGCCCTTGAAACAGAGCCATGTCGACGGCCTCGTAAGCCAACACCAGCAGGCATGAGTTGCTCTCTCCAGCCGGCCGGAAGTAGAAACGAAGATTTTGTTTTCGAGCAGGACGGCGACGATGGGGTCGTCCGGCGCTGAAGATGACACCACCTTTCCTATAGCCATCGTGGGCTCGTGTGGGTCATGGGGGGGTGCGCCTGAGCTCGTTTGGCTTTCGGTGCCAGAGGTTGTCATACCGCAAGATAGCAGCCAGCTCAGGGAGATCGGTCCTGGCACCGGAGAGAGCGTTCATGAGGGAGCAGCTGCCGTCGCGCTGGTGCACGAGAAACAACATGTTCTCGCCGGCGCTGTAGCGCCAGCAGTCAACGGGGAGACGCAGGCGGTAGTGCGGGTGCGGCGCGCTGTCGTTGGCGAGGTCGAAGAGGGTGCCGTCGCCGAACACGACCCAGGGGAGCCGCGTCGGTGGGAGCAGGCTGGAGGCGGAGCGCCACGACCTGCAGACGGCGCCTGCTCGGACGCGGTCCAAGAGGGACGTGAGGTGGTGGAGGACCAGGAGCAGGAGATCCGGTTGCAGGTCCGTCCATGCAGACTGGCGCTGGTCTGTCGCCATCATGATTCACGAAAACCTAGCTTTGGTTGATGATTCTGGTAAGAAAATAAAGCGTACGTGCGCGGTTCTATTTAGTCTAGGTTAAACCGCCATTGCTTTCCTTTTTAAACAAGTCTACCTGTCTGTCTATTTATCTTGTGTGCTCAAATCTATCTAACCAGTTTTTATTTCAAAATTACAGAAAACGAACTCCTATGATTGCATGATTAGGAAGGTGATTGTATGCCCAGACGTAGCTATCTAAGATCAATTTTTTTTACTTTACAAAATCTTGAAGCTACATGGCAAGAATTTGCATTTATACAACCCCTTCTGTCCGGTGTTCCCTCATGGACCGAAGGGACTTTTTCCTGGACCGAAGAGGTATATTCATGGCCCACTGAGACAAAGACATTGTCTTCATTTGTGGCCACGCCGAAGATCTAGTCTTCGTTCGTTCCCCTCACAAACAAAGAATTTTGGGATAAGATCAGGGCCTTCTTCTTTCTCCGAACGGCTGCCATTTCTGTCTATCTCACTACAAAAATCTGCGCTAATCTGTGATGAAAACCCTTGTGACGAAAAATAAACTATCACCTAAGAACTTGTTCTGTGAAGGTTTTCTGTCACAAGTTGTTTCCCCCCAGATCAGCCCCCTTAGGTGCATTGGTGACGTTCTGGCCTTGTTTTAGACAATGAATTTGGCAATCATCCATATTCAGCGACAATTTGTACTGTCATGAAAAATGTTCGACGGGTTGCACTACCAGAATAACCGGCAATGCCGACGGCCAAACCTATGCCGACGGCCCCCGTCGGCATAGAATAGATGGGTGTATCCCGACGGCCCAGCTCAAGTCGTCGGCGTATATCCATCGGTATAGGTCGGCCGACGGCATTGCAAGAAATGTGCCGATGGTGGCCGTCGGCATATCATGTGGGCCTGGCTACCCAGGCGGCGACGGCCGTTTGACGGCGTCACGCGTACGCCGATGGGCTAACGGTGGTCGTCGGCGTAGCTATGCCCACGTCACCGATCCGCGTCGCGCGCCACGTCATCGATTCGAGCCGCTCGCCGGTCCGTGGAGTGGCATACCTATGCCGACGGCCTTGCTGTCGGCATAGGCCTAGCCCATGGATCTTGCCACGTCATCGATCCGCGCCCTACGCCACATCATCGATCCAGGGCTCTACCGTTCCGTGGCCGTAGCTGGGCCGATGGCATTGCCGTAGGCATAGATTTCTAATAATATTTTAACATTTTATTTATTTTCTCTTATTTCCCTTTTAGTTTTTTCCAAAACTATTAACTTAAATCTGCCCCCCTCACGGGTGTTGCTGCCGCCGTGTCCCGAAGGCGGGAAATGACCACATCGGGCCGACACGGAGGGAATCTTGGAGTGGTTGGGCCGGGACGGTGTTGGGGGGTGTAGCTATGGGCTGGGCTATGAAAACCAGGTGAAAAGGTCCACCGGTCAAATCCCCGTCCGACGAAGGTCAAAGGGCTAGACCCGAGGGTCGTCTGTGTCCGGGTTAGACGGGACGGGGTACCTGGGGGGAGGGTAGCATTGCCGCCAGGTGATGCGGTGGGACCTCCTACGGTTGTGGAAGCATGGTGGCAGGCGCAGGCACCCGACACATGGCTCCGGGGTGTG